CTATAAAGCATAGAAACAAACACATAATGAAAGATTGACGTCAGCCATTCAAGGCAGGCAGACTAGGAAACCCAAATTACGTGTGCTAATACTACTTTTATTATAAGATTACATTAACAGAATCTTACAAGTCTGAATGTGCTTCCTCCTCCCTCCTTTTATCATTGTGAGAACTAGGGAGGGTCGTGTCTGAGACATTGTCTCAGGTTATAGTTCTTCCCCGGAATCAATTTTGTTTTGTTTTTTTAATCTGAGAGTTTCCTTGATGGCAGCTGTTCCTCCTGTCCCTCAAAACCATTCCCTCTTCTCACTCCATCTACTGTGAGAGTCATTTGGAACTTTGGAATTGTGTGCTATCAGTATGTTGATAACACCCTGTCCTGTAGATCCTTATAATCTTATTCCAAGGAAGCAATTCATAGCCTTGAAAGTTGCTATCCAGGGTTCATAAACTGTAATGCTAATCTCGCTTCATCTAAAAATAAAGACCAAAGTCTTATCTCAAGATCATAAATCCAGTCCAAGTATCACACATGTAAGAAAGCTTATCAGCAAATTATAAATGGTTGAGATATTCAGAACTACTAAACTTGGGAGGATTGTCGTATAGATTAAAAACAAGGGAGGAATTGGAAAAGGAGGGGTATCTGTGCCAGTGGTATAAAGTAAGGTGATCACATATTGCCTGTACTGAAAGTTCTGTATTTTATAAAATGCCTATAGGCACAGTTTAAGATGTCGCTGGCTTTTAAAACCCTAAAAGATTTAAGACCTGAACATCTATGGGAATCTTTCTTCTATGAACTTTCCTGGTTACTTAAAGCATCAGGAGAGGCCATTTGAGAAAGTTCCCACTGCCAAGAAACTTGGACATTTGGTACACAGGAAATGGCCTTGTCGTGTAAGGATCCATGGCTTTGAAATGCTCTTCCCAGGAAGGAAAATTCAAATGAGGTCTATCTATCTATCTATCTATCTATCTATCTATCTATCTATCTATCTATCTATCTATCTATCTTTCTTCTTCTTCTTCTTCTTCTTCTTCTTCTTCTTCTTCTTCTTC